AAGTTTCATTGTTCATTGTATTTTCATTTCAGAAACAAAAGTTCTTTTTCCCACATGATTTGAATTGGGTGGTAACATATATGGCAATTAACACGTTAGTAAGTTAGGTCTATTGATGGACGAAGTACTGTCAGGGTCCGTGCAGAGTATCAAAAACGAAATTTAAGGACTTTTCCAGGACCAAAATTGTTTTTTAATGGAGCATCAAAATCATGCTAATTGTACATTCTTACCTCAAAACTTCAGCCGAACGGAATAATTCAGAGATCCCTAGCGCTTTGTGAAAGAGATCCATCTTTTTTAAGGAGTTTTCAAGGACTTTTTCGAAATTTTCAAATTTTTAAGAGTTTCAAGTGCCCTTGAAAACGTGTTTTCAATTCAAGCACTTTTCAAGCATGGACCCTGTAGTGTTTACACTTTGTTTGTTTGTAAATATATATTGTAACATGACCAATAAACCTGCAATACACTACAGTGGTCACAGAAAGAATCAAGAAAGTCACAAATATTTCCTTGTCTTGGTTATTTGGAGTGTGGATTTTGCAAGTTAGATAGCACTCAATTTAAACTATAGTATAGGACTCCTTTCTATTGAAACTGTTTATTTATTATTTACCTTGAAAAATGTTTGGGATCCCTGTGCACAGAAATCCTTTCTACAATATTTTTTACAATGTTTACAGTGAAGTACACCACTTAACCCTTAAAACAAATACAGTACCACTTATTACTGCTAATTCACAGTGCCTCTTAGCAAATAGAGCATTTAGAAAGGCGTCTGCTTTATTTTAGCATCTATTCCCTACTGTTAAGCATGTTACAGACTCAGTTTGTGACCTCAAAATGGATTGTTTGGCTATCGTAGTCTGTCCCAGCGCCACACTGTACCGTCATCACAGACACAAACGAGAATCCTGAAAAAAGAAAGAGTACAATCACTCTTGGATGGAAGTATAAAGCTCAGTGTTGACAGTCAATCAATTTTTTCAACATGATGTTATATCATTTATTTAATCTCTTTAACCTCTCTGTAAATGACAGTCCCCTAACTACATGTAAACATTAGCCTTGAAAGTCTCCTTATATTTACTAGTATTTCTCTTACAAAACAAAAACAAGGCGAGAGAGTAAATTTGTGTAAGAATCATYATATGATAGCTCTGTACATGTACAATACTTACTTGCCATCAAAACTGAAAGCTGTTTGCCGTATCGCTGCTGTGCATTTGTTGTGAGTCAATGTAGAGCATCTGGAAATAAACATAACATCAAAATTATCAAATAAAATAATAAAAGTTTACTTTTGTTGAGCTATAAAAATTGACACCCAAGAGTTAAAAAATATGATTAAGATGTGCAAGGCCTGTTTCAGATCAATCTTTTGCCGCGTCTAATTGCTTGCATGCAGATCTCAAGAAGTTTGCAGTCTACAGTACATCGCTTGATATTTACAGATTATAGTAAGTTCGTCCAACTGAACAAAATCTACCAAATGAATATCAATGAATTCAGAGTACGAAATGTTCATAAACTCAACTCCACCAATTAGATTAGACTCGACAAAAGATTGAAATGGACCTATAAACTGACACCAGACAAAAGTCTAAATTATTCTGTGCAAATGAAATTACAAATTTTACTTAATGAACTACCTGGCTTTACTGGGATCCTCAAAGCCAATGTCCCATACAAACACCTTTCCTGCTTGATTTCCAGCTGCCATTAACTATATGATCATGTAACACAATAAACATTATTTCACAAATGAGAAGAAATAAATGGTACAATATATGATTTAATAATTACACTCAGATTGAAAATTATTGACATTTGGGGCAAGGTTCTTAGTACAATCTAATGATAGTAAAAGAAAGGACATAAATAATATCAAAAGAAGAATCAACAAAACAAAATAAAAAGCAAAATTGAACCTTACCCTTTGCTCATAATCCAACGAGAATCTCATGTACCAAATGTCACATTGATGGAAATCAAACCTGAACACAAAAACTTAGTAAACATTCAAATCAAATTCTAGAATAAATATAATATACGTTTTGTCTGATTTTACACAATATTATTCCCTGCTATAAGAGACTCTTGTTGTAGTTCTTGACATGAGAGTCTCTAACACATATAAAAGCATGGAAACTTGAAGTCCATTTGAAAGAGTATTTGAAAAAACAGTACCTGTGGAGCACTTCAACACCATGGTCACTATTTCCAGTCTGAGAGGACAAAACAATAATTTACACAATTGTAAAATATTTCATAAATTTGCAGTGTAAATAAATAATCCATACTTTTGTTTTAATTGCGGTAAAATGTGTAAGTTTGTATTTTGATTGTCTTTCAGTTGGGCATTCCCAGCACCCATTCCCTGGATAGGATGGCAGGGAATCATAAAGACACTAAATATCACATTACATAATATCAATGCAAAATTATTACTACTAAACCTATTTGAACGCTAAATCTATCAAGGACCAAGCTCACAGTCTTTCCAATTTCCACCTTTTTAGTTTTGTTTTTTGACATCTTATTCAATTTTTATGAGACATTTGTGTGCATTCTATACATAACATACACTTGCGTTTCATTTAATTCTCCAGATATTCACCTTTTGCAGAATTTCTTCAAGTTTGGTGTCTGGCTTCCAACACACAACACAGTTTTCACATGACTTAAAAAAAAACAGAAAAAAACAACAAACAATCAGTTCACTAGATACATAATCTCCGATTATGATATAACTGTCAACCAAACAAACCATCATAATAGTGATCATTGGAGTGTTTTGATAGAAATACAGAAGGAAATGGTTACACGTCAGTCAACTCTCTCGTAAGTGACCACCTCGGGATCAGGAAAAAGTGGTCGCTTAGGAGAGATGGTCGCTTAGGAGAGAGTTTTTTAAAGAGTTTATATGGGAAACAATTATAATGGGAAATTTAAAAGGTGGTCGCTTATGGGATATGGTCGCTTACGAGAGTGGTCGTTCAAAGAGAGTCAACTGTAATAATATCATAATATTTTATAGTGCACTTATCATGATCATGACTGCAAAAATTTTACCTTTGATAAGACAAGATCACCYAGCCATCGAACACAATCGACATAATTTCTGTGAATATCTCTTGTGGTGAAGTTTGGGTAGTGGATATGAGCAGTTTTGAATGGTCTAACAATAGTAAAAGATAGATATTAGACTTATTATATTTGGTCCAGTATCCTAGTCATTCAGGCGCTGTGATTGGCTGGCACATGGTCTGGTATTTCACAAAGTTGCACAAACAAAATTGGTTGGGAACTTAAATATATTAAGCTTATGATGTCTGTAATCAAAGATGCATTACTTTTTTGCAGTGTTGGCATCATATGAATAAGAACTATTACAAGCCTAGAAAAGGAAAAGAAAACATTTTAATTTTAATTTTAAAACTTATAGAGTGCACGTCACATAAGCATGAAGCAATTCTTAATATGTATTGCTAAATAAGATTTAGTTATCAACTAACTAAGAATTCAACAAAGCATATACACAATGCCAATTATTTAAATTCCTTTGTAGCATTGTTCTCAATTCTTAGTTAGTTGATAACTAAATCTTATTTAGCGCTACATAGTTAAGAATTGTTTCATGCTTATGTGACTTGCACTCTAAAATGCCTTATAACTGGCATAATTTGAAAGAATCTTTATTTCAATGAAAGTGATATTAATAAAGAAGCTGTAAACACAGTTTTAACCAACCTCTTTTATTGTATCAGTCTCTAAATTCCACATTTTTAATGAATGATCCATGCCACACGAGATGAGTTTAGTTCCAAGAATATCAAAGTCCTGAGGATAATCATTGTAAAAAAGTGAAATGTGTATGGGACTCCTAAAAATCGGTGGCGCTATACTGCTTATACAGTCATGTACATGTAGCTGCCTATTATTGAAACCCCTGTGTACTAGAGCAGATTTCGTATGAGTGGGACACCGTTACCGCACAATTACTGGACCTGGCCTGCACAATTTTCGTGAACCAATGGGGCGCTAGAATTTGATTACAGTACGATTACGGTCACAGTACAGTACCGTCCGTTTCCCACTCAAGTAAACACTTTACTTACGACACTAAGAACTTCATCTCTGTGTCCATCGACACCACCAAATATAGCAATAAGAGCATCTGTTTTGACATTCCATAACCGAAGACTATGATCTAAAAGCATTATAGGAATTAAAATTAAATGTCAATATGAATTGTGGTACTTGCAGTCAAAGCTAACACTATATGCATTGGGTTTGACTACACAGTATGGATTTAGAGCAGAGTCACTTGAACCATGAAATAGAAACAAAATATTTAGTAACTAATAGTAACTATTTAAATATAGACACTATCACTGAACCAGAACAGTACAAAGAGATTACTTTGATTGTTATAGTAGTCTCTTGGGTATTGCTTATTGGATCAAATAAACTGTTCTGGTTCAGTGCTAATGACTATTAGGAACTAATAGTGACTATTAGTTAGTACTTTCTATTTTTTATTTCATGATTCATGGTTATTTCTCTGCTTTATTTAGAGTTTACCTTTGCTCCCTGAGAGTAGAAGATGAGGGTCAAGAGGGTGGAATTTAAGGTCATTTATCGCTCCTCCATGGCCAACATAATGCTGGGAAAGAACAATGAATAAATGGATGAATTAATGAATGGATGGACGGATGAACAAACACATTTTATAAATGAATAATG